AAGCAACGTCCTAGCGTCTAATGGCAATTCAGGATGATATGGAGACAATATATGAAGTAAGCTTGTCACATGTGCATGAGTAACAGGTGGTGTAGTTGCCCAATGTTTTAATTTGACAAGTAAAGTCATTGTTGACCCGTTTTGATTTTCGGAATTATTATCTGAAGAAAAACCTGGCTCGAGATACTGTGTTTGAGGTAGCATTTCACAATTATTAGTTTCAAAATCAATTGGATTAAAAGGTAATGTGTTATTAACACTAATGTAATCAGAAGAACCAGAGGGCAAGTTTTCACTAGCATCTTTACCATTAATTATTGAATTATCAGGCAAACTATTATTAGCATTATTGCATTGCCCTTCTATTTGTGACTTATTGATACTCTGGCGCTGGTTAAATTGTAAAATATTACTTTTATAAAAAGATATTCTCCGATACAGCTGCCGTCGTCCTACAACAGTTTTTCTAAACTTCATCTTGATTCTGTTTCTTTAACTCCGCCTTAAGTCGTTGAGGTGCATGCTTTAACCACACCTTAATAGCATCCTCAATTGCCTTTTCTGTACATTCACCTAGATTACTTTGTACAGCTTCTAAAATAAAATAACAGGTTAGGTAGGTACCTCCATTATATACATATGGTGATGATGATAAAAGCACTATGTAGTAACATTATTAATAAGACACAAGCTTAAGTTATCACATCATATTAGTTTATAATAATTCATAACAATGATATTAAGAGATGAGATGGATACTTACTAATAATCACTTTCTTCAATCCCAATTCAGAAAATGGTCTTTTATTTTGGCGTTTCCCAAAAAAACTAAAATGAGATGCCAAGTCATTCCTGAGGCAATGTTTTAATATTATATTTACTTTCCCAATAAGGTCCGTTCCCCCCTAATAGTGATAGATGTGATGTCTAAAAATAGTAAGTAATATTATTAGTATTTCTTCTTAGATACTCATAAATACAATACCTACCAATAGTGCAGCATTATTCTTGTCTGCGATGTATCCTTCTACTTCAAGTACATTTTCTTCTGTACTTAAAGGTAAAACAAACGGTAAATCTTTTTGTAAAAATTTTTCAATATTATGGTTGTTATTTGTTTTAACTTTTTCTTTTAATAATTCCAGTATTTGGATATTTTGAGCTTTCAGCGTAGCTAATAATGAATATACGTTTTCATCTGAAAATAAATAAACAAATGTAAATTGAAAATCCAGCTTTAGTTAGTCATGAAAAAATGGTTTGATTCTTTAAGTACATACTCATAATTTATTTCATACATTCATATTGATATTATTATAAATTAACTATTATAATCTGTTTGGAAATGGAAGAGACTAATAAATGGTTTTTATGAACGTACATTTTAAATGCACTATGTAGAATTTGCGTGTATAAAAACTTTTTATTACTCTCTTCCATTTCCAAACAGGGTATAGGTATTTTTAACACAAACATACCGGAGGCCACTGATGGTGAAGGAGATGGGACGTAACGTGTATCAATGGGCGTGCTTATTCCTAATAAATGAGAAATACATTTCATTAGTAAAATACACTAGTAGGTTAATAATAATTAGGCCTTTAGTCTAAGGGCCGGTTCTACAATCACAGTATAACTCCTTATTCTAGGAATAGCATAACTAGAAGTTTATAATGTCACTTGCCAACAGTAAAATGACAGGAATTGTCACATCCTAAACTTCTAGATAAGCTATTCCTAGAATAAGGAGTTATACTGCGATTGTAGAACCGGCCCTAAGGGACAGAATTCATAACTCTTATACATAAGTATTAAAAATTAAATCTTAATATTTTTAACACATACCACAGGACACTGATCTTGAAGGAGATGGAACATGACGTATTTCGTATTCGTTGGGCGTATTTATTGCTAACAAATGAGAAATACATTATATTAGTAAAATTCAGAAATCATAACAGCTACTAAAAAATAAATGAATTGAAAATGAATCATAATATAATCTGATACTGAACTCCCTTAGAATTGTGGTTTGTAAATTTTGTGATTACGAAATTTATAGGGAATTACGAACAAAAGTAACATAGCAATCAACATGTTCTATCATTGCCTAATACTGAAAAGTCAAACTTATGTTATTAAATTCGATCCGAATAGTTATTTATGTATCAAGGGAATTATTATACCTACATAATTCCCTTGATTTAGATAATAGCAGAGAATAATTAATTTGGGCTAGCAGACGTCATTTGCACAATTATTGTGATATCTGTAATCCTGACCTGAAGTATATTAGGTGCGTATTTTTTTGTTAGCGTCTAAAACAGTCTAAGGAAGAAGTCGGTGTTCTGAAGATGACCCTTACATTACAGTTCATAGTCGTAAACAAATAACAGTATTCATCTAACTACTTACTATGCAGTTCACTAGATTTCTTGGTGGATATTGGTGTAACAGTACTAACAGTAGTGATATGCTCTGAACAATTATTATTTTTCTCAAAACTTATACGAGGAGGACGTTTCAGGCCTCTACCACTCTCTTCGTCACTACTACTATCGCAAAGTTTTTTTGGTGTTTTTCTCGGTCTCTTTTGTGGCACAATCTCTTCCTCTGACTCAAGATTAGAGGTTACCTCTGCCTTTTTCAGTTTGATGGCAGCCTTCTCCAAATCATCTGAGAGCAGGTAATATACATATAAGTTCCTACTAATAATATAATACTTCTACAAAAAGTATAGATTCATACAACTTGATCTAAGAATAAAAATAAGAGTAGCAATAAGAAAAAAGAATTAGACCAGTCATAGGTATCCCTTTAAATAGAAGGAATGGAGGGATTTTTTGGTGAAAATCTTATTCTTATTGATATTCTTATTACATATTATTTTTCTATCAGTCTGCATGAATCCAAAGTAGTACATAGGTATGTAGGTAGGTAGGTAGGGGTATACTCGTACCTATATTCAGTTGAAAATCTGCACTAAATTGCTCTTTGACACACCTAAATACTTGGGAGTAGAATTTCCGTGTAATTAGGATTGGGCCATATGCATACAAAGACGCAAATGCTTATACTCTAGTACTATCTTTGTCAGCTGTTTTAGAACTATATAAGTAGTTTATTTCAAAAAATTGAAGTCAAAGCATTTGCTTTATCTTTATGCATACCACCCCATGTCTGTTGGGAATAAACAAATAAATATAAGTAGCAGCAATAATGTTATCATGAAGCGTAAATGCTTTTAGTGGGTCCAAACTAGTGCTCGGAATAATATTCGAATAATTCGAATATTCGAATATCAAATAGTCGAATAGTTGAAAAGAAAATTATTCACTATTCGAATATTCGAATATTTATTCAAATATTCGAATATTCAACTATTCGGATATTTGAATATTCGAATATTCAAATATTAAAATATTCAGATATTTGGATATTAAAATAATTGGATATTTGAATATTAAAATATTAAAATAGTTGAATATTTGAGTACTTATTAAAAAGCCGAATATCTGCTAAAAGAAAATGTTATCACCATTTATTTAAATAATCGAATATTCAAATAGGTACCAATCAAATGTTTAACACTCGATAAAGTATAACATTTATAAATATTAGTGAAAAACACTGATATTTATAGGTAGGTAGGTACAGAATCTATTTTACCCCCTAACAATACAACAAAACAAACATTACGAACCACTGATAGCAACTGGCGTTTCTTATAGTTTAATAGTTAAATAAAATCTGAATACCAAAATTTGTAACCTCCTGTTATTGTTGCTTTAGATGTAATCAATCAATATTTGAATAGCTAATATTCGAATAGTTACGTATTCGAATATTCGACTATTTGAATAAGGGCCGGTACTTTGAATCTCGGTTAAATGGTTGGTTAAATAATCAGATATTAAATTAACCCCGGTAACTTAAATCGTGATTAACATAGTTTGCGTACTTTGGGTGTAATTTCTGGATCGGTCAGTTAACCGAGATTTTATCTAAGTAGGCAATCTGCAGCATATGTCAACTGGCTCTTCTTCTTCTTCAAATGTTTTGAATTAGACTAAAAGTACTATCTACGACATACGTGGCAAGAAAGATGATCAAGAATTATGTATTACCAGAATAGAGTATTCCAAGGCGCTGTCAAAGTATATTCAAAATGGCGTCGTCAGGGCACACAATCGGTTTGTTTACTTCATGAAGATTTCGTGGTTTGGTTTACTTGTGTCTTGTGTTCACTGTTCATGTCACAGGGGATATATATTCATGGATAAAATATATTGGATATATTCCCATATATATAATACTATACATATGTATATTGCCCTGTGATTCATGTATTAGGATATGATTAAATACTATACCAAAAAGGTAGTTATATTTTTTGCCAAAAAGTTTAATGCACGTACTTCTAACTGTAGGGAGTTATTTTGTAGCTTATTTTTAAGTGCATAAAATATAAAATGCCAGCCTTCTGCTGTGTCATTAATTGTGGTAATCGGGGTGAACGTGACAATGTGAAATTTTATAAAATTCCTAAAATTCTAAACTTCAAACATAAAGAACACATCAATAAATTGTCTAAAGTAAGAAGAGAAAAAATGGATAAATGCCATAAAAAGGGAAGATTTGGTAGAGGCCAAGCTGAAATATGCGACAGTGTGTAGTAAACATTTTATTAGTGGTAAATATTTTCTAATTATTGTAAAAATATATTTGAAATTGTTATTTTCTGTTTTAGGTAAACCAGCTGATAGAGAAGATGTTACCCATCCGGATTGGGTACCCCATCTAAATTTAGGGCATGGCCACAAACTAGCAAAAGAAGAAAGTCACGGTGAAGCTGTGCTTAAACGTTTTCAAAGGGCTCAGAAGAGGGCAAAATTAGTGAAAGAAACACAAGTCCATAAGGCAGTTAGTGCTCCAATTACATACTATTGTAGTAAATTATGTTAAGAACGGTATCCTGATTAGTAGAGTGGAAGTGTGGAAGCGTGGTAGCTTAATTGGAAGAGCATTGGCCTGGAAAGCCAAAGGTCCCGAGTGAGATCCCTGGCTGCGTCGAAACATTTTTCATTCTACTACACTATTGATGTTAAATATAGTCACATTTGCCTTACCTATTGATCATGTGTAACGTGTAACGTAATCTGTTTTTTTTTACTGTTATTGTGTACAATGTGTAAAACATTGTGTTATGTATGACTTATATAGATATTTTTGTTTTTACAAACCACTCCTGCCCGTGGTTGGTTAGGGTAATTGGGCATTATTAGTATTAATATTTTGTCCTCATTAGCATGTTTTTGCAGGTTTTCATAGATTCAGTGGCCGAACCTTCAAGTTCAGTTTCAAGTTTGCTTTCAAGTGAATGGGAAATGCAAGAAAATGATAAATATTGTCAGACAGACATAACTTGCGAAGACATTTCAGATATGAAACTTTCATTCACCCGTTATTCTTCTTTGCAGAAAAAACTCAATATAAGTTTAAGTTATGAAGGATTAAGGCACAATGATATTAAAACCAAATATTACACTGGCCTAGATTCTTTTTTAAAATTAGATATTCTTATTAAATATATAGAGCCTTATGTTGAAATTCATGAGAGAACAATTTTAAGCGCAGTGCAGCAGATTTTATTAACATTAGTAAAGTTGCGACTTAATCTTGATTTTAAAGATCTTTCATACAGATTTGGTGTAAGCCCGACAACTGTCTCCACTTATGTTTATAACGTAATTAATATTATGTATGAACGATTAAAGTCATTAATAATTTGGCCAGAACGTGACATTTTACAGAAAACCATGCCTGCTTGTTTCACAGAAACATTTCAAGACCATACAACTGTCATAATTGACTGCTTTGAAGTTTTTATTGAAAAACCATCAAATTTATTAACTGCAGCTCAGTGTTGGTCTAATTATAAACACCATCACACATTAAAATTCCTAATTGGCATTACACCACAGGGAACCATTAGTTTTATAAGTGAGGCGTGGGGTGGTCGGGCATCTGACAAATTTATTGTGCAAAATTCTAAATTTTTGGGTCATATACATCCAGGGGATATTATTTTGGCAGACAGGGGTTTTCTTATCAGCGAATATGTGCAACTTCTTCAGGCAAAAGTTCGAATACCGGCATTCACAAAAGGTAAATCCCAATTACATCCTACAGAAATTGAAGCCACTCGATCACTAGCACATGTAAGAATTCATGTTGAAAGAATTATTGGAACAATTCGACAGAAATATAGAATTTTAAGAGACACAGTTCCAGTAAGTTTAGCATCTAGTGGTCAAGAAGATATTCCAATTGTAGATAAAATTGTTACTGTTTGCTCTGCTTTAATTAATTTATGCCCACCTATTGTACCAATGTAAACAAAATAAAATAATTCACCTGTTTTCAGTTTTTATTTTTAGATAATAGTAAAATATTGTCAAGGAACTGCCAAACATTTCTAAAATATAAGTTAGTAGAAAGGGCAATTCTGATAAAAGGTACATTTACAGCTTATTCACAGAATGCACATTTCAATATTTTGTCTAGAAAAGCACTCGAAAATTTACAAAACAAAACGGACTGTACACACATTTTTATTGTACCTCAAAAATTATACCATTACTATTCATTTATACTATTAAATTTATAATGTCTGTAACTTATTTGTGGTGTATTTTTACTTCATAATATTTGATAATTTCATTAATAATTTAACCCTTCATTAACTTTTCGCCTTAATTTCTAAATAAAGAAAGATGCAGTTAAATAAGCCAATAAATAATAAGAAATATACTAATAACTGTGCCTGTAACTTTTCTAGGTCGCCCTGTGTATTAGTGAACAAGGTTAAAAATTTCCCAAGAAAAAAAGAAAATCACATCACAATTATGTTCAGAACCTTATCATTATATTCTATATTTACAACTTATGAGAATGAACATAAATTTTTTGTATGTAAAAAAGAAAATTTACTAAATAAAGACACATTCCACACACAAATTTTCATTCGACATGAAAACTCTGCTCACTTTTGCATGAGGCACATATCCACGTGTCAGGTACAGCAGTTAAACCTACACACTCCACATGGTACCACTGAATTTCACAATTATCGTTATCACATTTTATCATTGGACGTCCATCATCCATCGATTTACAGCAACACCATGATTGTGAGGCATCATTTGTGTACAGTCTTCCAAGAAGTTCTGGTAAAATTACTTTTTCGTGAAATTGCTTGGCTTTAGGATACTCACAGGCCCAAAAATCTTCATTAGACAAAATTGTTTCTACAAAAATTTCATTTGGTGACCAGAGGACAAAACTGCAGAATGGAAGATTTGTGACCTTCATTTGCAGTTGCACCTGATAGTAATATGCATGATCCTTTTTCAATCCAATGTCACCATCAATAACAGTTAAACAGGAATTTTTTCCATTTGCATATGATACAATATCCATATTTCTTAGAACATAAGGGCATTTCACTTCAACAGTTCCTTCCCCGCAACAGTCACATGATTGAAGTCCATCTGGTGAGGCACCAAATGCTGGAAATTGTGGATTTATTATTAAGCCACACCTTTCCACATTAAAATTTCTATGTGTCAACCGCTGATAGTTCACGTAATCCGAAATAGCATTTATTTCATGGGATAGACCCCAATTTGTCGCTTTTGTTTTAAAATTATGTAACAATGGATAGCATATACTCTTTATTAAAGATACCGATGGCTTAGAGATTGATGTTTTGCAAGCCCTCTTAAAGTTTGATGCTGTTATTCTTCCACTTCTTTGGTTGAACCATTCTCTTGATCTGCTTTGCTCCTTAGTGGCGTTATTTATAGCGACACAATCATCCGGTGTTATATTTTCAGGAACAGTCATTACAAGTTGCAGCAATTCTTCATATGATTTATTTTCATGCTCTGGTCGATACAGATTTACATATATGGACGGTAACTGCGGAGTTCGGTCTATTGCAACTGAACTTGCAAATGGTTCCACAACTGACATTAATGCTGCGGAAGTTCCGGCACTCTGGCATTCACTTAATAGTGTCTGAAGTTCAGAATCTTTAATCGGTGGAATAATCCTTTTTGTGTTAATAGTAACAGAAGGTTTTATGCTCCTCCACCGTAGTTCTGATAACTTCACAATAGGGACTTTTGTAACTGTTGGTACTTTCCAATATGCCTTAACGTCAGTGCAGGATATATTGCTTCTATTGATATGAATGTACTCTAAAGAATACAAAATTGCTGCAACGTGACTACAAGCTTCACCTGCACCTGCCATGCAAGTACAGTGTCCATTCCGTACACTTCCATCTTCTTCGCAAATGAGCCAGACCTTTAAAGGAGCTTCTGTCATCCTTTGAGAATGTTTGACCTAAAAACACAAACTTTTAGAAAAGGTAATAATAATTAAAATAACACAACAAATAACTTACTGTGCCAACGACAACGACGCGTTCATTTATTTTGACAGCACCGATCTTCTGAACAAAACCGGCCTCAAAGTATTTATATCCGAGTAAACTTTTATATGCTTTCATTTGCTGTTGGGTGTAAAAACTATGGGTCAACACTAAATAAGTTACAATATCTATAGCGGTCACGGCAGGAAAAACTTCTACTTCGAATCGCAGATCATCGTCTTTCAACACATAGGGATCAACATTGTTTATAAGTCCAAGTTTTAATTTATATCTGTCCACAACATCTCCTCCTGCTGACTCGAGTTTTTTAAAATATTCACTTTTAAGCTGTTCCATTATAATATACCAGTTACAATCTAACAATCACACAAATCTACCTTCTTGCACTGTACATAGAAATGACTTTTTATATTTCCGTTTGTGTGCCCTGTGTCCGCCATTTTTTAAAAGGCAGGGTCACGTGTTCTGGAATACTCTATAAGATAGAAGATGATATATCCGTTCATCTTTTTTAGGTTAGGGTGGGTTAGGGTTATGTTGATTGTTGTCGTTCTTCGCCTCGTCGTGTTAGCTGTTTTTACTTTTGTATAGTTGAAAAGTTTATACCTATCTGTAGAAAGCAAGAAAGTAGATATGGATGTGAAGAAAAAAAGGTCATGCAATTTTACAAATCGTGAAATAGGTCTATTGATGGAATGTGTTATGTCGGAAATAAAAGTGATCGAAAATAAAAAAACCGATGGGTCATCTCTTAAAGAAAAAATGAAAGCATGGGAAAGAGTGAATAACACTTTCAACTCCATGAGTAACAGCGATGTCCATCGTGATGTAACATCAATAAAAAACAAATATGAAAATATCAAACGGGCTTTAAAGAAAAAAATTGCCCAAAACCGACAAAGTATAACTAAAACTGGTGGAGGCCCTCCATCAGAATCCAAACTACTTTGGTATGAAGAGGAACTGTTTGCAATATTACAGCTAGGAATTGAGGGTCTTTTATCGGAGGGTGATAGTGACTTTTTTACACCTAACGATTGTGAAAAGGCAGTGCCTCATATAGATACTGTTGAGGAATTGGTCGACGAAAACATTGGTAAGTTACTTAAGTATTTTCCAAGTTTTACTATTGACTTATTGCTAATATTTTATAGCTGTAAATGATTATAATAAAGAAATAGTTATAGAAGTTATAGAAGAAGACGAAGATAAGTTATATGAGGCAGACAAGGTAATGTATATTATTTTAGTACGTACTACGTGGGTGAATTACACAATCAACTATCGAAGTATTTGCTTGAAAAAGGCGCAATAAACAGTGCCCTGTCTTAATAACCTAATTAAGTTTAACCTATTTTAGGAAAATCAAACTTTACCTAATACAGCAGTCAGTTGTGCTATTCGAGGTGTCAACTCACAAAGTTCCTGGCAATCCTCGGGCTCTGTGGCTGTACCTTCAACCGACGCATCAACTTCCAAGACATGCAAAACTTCTGTAAGTTGTAAAAATACACTCACCAAAATGGTCTAGAGGACAAGCGAAAAAATACGTTTGCGTGCGTTATTCAAAATTTGGTGAAGACATATCATGCAGACCTTAATGTGATAGTCT